ATCCCGGGCGTGCAAGGCGAGGACTTAACCACTTGCGCCACCGCGCCGGGCCCTCTCTGTCTCTTCTTCTAACTCTACATTTCAAATAAAAATATAGGAATCTTTAAAAAAAAAACCAACTTTACAATAATGTAACAAATATGACCTGCTATGATATGAAAACATGATATTAGTAAATGAATGTGCATTATCTGGTCTGTTCTCATTGCCTCTTTTCCTGTTTGAGTCCCATAAAAATGCAAATTACCAAAGTTTGGGGGTATAATTAGAAAAGTTTTAAATAGGGCCCAGCGCGGTGGCCTAGCAGCTAAAGTCCTCGCTTTGAATGTGCCGGGATCCCATATGAGGACAGATTCTAATCCTGGCAGCTCCACTTTCCCTCCAGCTCCCTGCTTGTGGCCTGGGACAGCAGCTGAAGATGGCCCAAAGCCTTGGGACCCTGCACCTGCGCGGGAGACCCAGAAGAAGCTCCTGGCTCCTGGCTTCAGATCGGCACAGCTCCAGCCGTTGTGGCCACTTGGGGAGTGAGCCATCGGAGGGAAGATCTTCCTCTCTGTCTCTCCTCCTCTCTGTACTTTCCAATTAAAATAAATAAATAAATGAAAAGTTTTAAATAGCTAAATAAATAAATGGAATCACTGTTTCCTATCATTGCATCTCTGTGCCAGAAAGCAGTTCACTGAATTGACAAATGGGAAGACAGAGCAAGATGAGTGGCCTGGCTCCTTCCTGGCTGGAAGCCTGAGCTGCCTCCTCAGGGGGGCTAGCACACGGGGCCCCCACGCGGAGGCTGGAAGATGGCCTCAGAGCAGCAAGAGCTCTACTGAAGAACAGCAAGTTTCTTTCAGGCATTCTCCCTCCAAAGCATGCCCTGCACTGGGTCTTTTGCAATAATCCTATGTTGTATATGAGCATCAACCCCACTTTACAGATGATGCAAGTGAGGCTTACAAAGATTGAGCAACTTGCCGAAAGCTGCACAGCTGTAAAGTGGCGGAAAGCCAAGAGTCCTGACTCTAAAATCCACTCTGTCCCCGCTGCTACACTGCTCATTACTGTGCTGCTGATGAAAGCAACTGGGCTCCAGACTCAGCTTCACCCCTTGGGCAAATTATTTGATCTTGTTTAGAAGTCTGTCATGGGTAAAGAGGGCAACTGACAGGTGCCAGACTTCTCCATGGCATTTGACACTACAAGAGCTAATGTACAAATATACCACCAAACGATAGCGCGTAAGTAAATGGCAGATTTAATTTGAGCCAAAGTGGCATATATTTTTGTGCTTTCAAATGGTTTGAAGTCATAAAAATAAATTTACTAGTAATTTTTAAATGTTCCCAAATAAAAATGATTTTAAAAAATCAATTGTAGGGAGCCAGCATGGGGGGCTCAACAAGCTAATCCTGAGCCTGCAGCAGCAGTATTCCATATGGGCACTTGTTCATGTTCAGCTATCCCACTTCCCATCCAGCTCCCTTCCTGTGGCCTGGGGAAGTAGCTGAGGCCGGCCCAAAGCCTTGGGACCCTGCACCCTTGGTGTGCATTCGCAGGAACATGGAGAAGCAATAGAGCAGGCAGCACTGCAACTGGCACTCCAATACAGCATGGCGACACAAAAGCCTGTTGCTGTTAAAAGCGCCTGGCATGGGCCTGGCGCAGTGGCCTAGCAGCTAAAATCCTCACCTTGGGATTTTAAAATCCTCACCTCCAGCTCCCTGCTTGTGCCCTGGGAAAGCAGTCGAGGACGGCCCAAGGCCTTGGGACCCTGCACCCCTGTGAGAGACCTGGAGGAAGTTCTTGGCTCCTGGCTTCGGATCAGCACAGCACCGGCCATTGCAGTCACTTGGGGAGTGAATCAATGGATGGAAGATCTTCTCTATCTCTCCTCCTCTCTGTATATCTGACTTTGCAATAAAAATAAATAAATCTTTAAAAAAAAAAAAAGGCACGGGCCCGGCGCGATAGCGTAGCAGTTAAGTTCCTAGGTTTAAACACGCCCTGGATCCCATATGGGCGCCGGTTCTAATCCCAACGGCCCCACTTCCCATCCAGCTCCCTGCCTGTGGCCTGGAAAAGCAGTCGAGGACGGCCAAAAACTTTGGGACCCTGCACCCACATGGGAGACCCGGAGGAGGCTCCTGGCTTCAGATTATCTCCGCTCCAGCCATTGTGGCTGCTTGGGGAGTGCACCATCAGATGAAGATCTTCCTCTCTGTATATCTGCCTTTCCAATAAAAAAATCAATAAATCTTAAGCAAACAAACAAAAAAAAAACACCAAACACCTGGCATACTGTATTGTCCATCTTGTTAGGCCAATGTTGCCCAAGAGAACTTGATGTAGTGATGGCAAAATACTAAGACCTGCTCTAACACAGCAGCCATAGTCACATCGCCAGAACAACTAAAATCTGAAATTGGAACAGAAGTTTCTAAATCGTTTTAAATTTAGTTTTCTTTGAAAGGCAAGAGAGTCAGAGATGTATTCGGTGGTTCCCCAGCCCCAGGAGCAAGGCACTCAGTCTGTGCTGCCCTCACGGCTGGCAAGGCTCCCCAAGCTGGAGTCCCGGACCGCTGCCTCCCTGAGCATACAACGGCAGCAAGCTCCAAGGGGACCGGGACTGAGGCTGCAACCCAAACACTGACATGGAATGTGGGCGCCCAACAGCATCTCAAACACCATGGCAAATGCTCAGCCCCACAATTTTTCCTCTTATTTGACTTTAACAAATGCCAACAGTTGTATGTCACGTCTGGGCAATTCCGTCAGAGACCCCTCGACGCGCACTGTGGAGTGAGGATGCCTTTAGGAGAGCACCTTTCGGAGGGACGGAGTTAGCAAACAAGGCCAGAGTTACTGAGCAGGTGAAGCGGCCACTGAGACTAGCAGCCAGAGGCTCAAGCAGTGCCCCTCACCTCCATTCCCCAGGCACAGACAACCTCAAAACAGCCAGTGTTCCTTCAATCCCCCCAGCATTTCAAAACACTAAATCTGTTAAATACAATTTCTGCTTCCTGAAAAAGAGCACAGAGCTCAAATCAGAATTAAGGAACAATTTTCTAGTCAGTGACCCAGAGGAAATTTCAAAGAAAAAAAAAATAAGGATCATAAGGAGGTAACTACAAAACTGCTTTTGGAGATACAATTTATTCACCTAATTTCTCACTGAAAATCCAGAAATTATTATCTTAACAGGTATTTTTTAATTCTGCATCATAGTCAGCTGGAAATGAAAAGGATAAAAACACCAAGAGAGGGAACGAACAGAAGAGGCAGGAGCGTAAGGCGGCCAGAGCGAAGCAGCCCGTGCAGGAGACACTGCTCCTGTCGGCTGTCCACCAGCTCTGTGCTCCCAGGGTCATGACTCTTACCTTGATTGTTCAAAATAGTAGTTCATTAAACCTTAATTCCTAATTCAGAGACTTCTGTCCTCACACCAGTGGCATAAAAGGCAACTCCTGTCCTCAACTGCAGTTGCCTTTTAGCAGAGGTCTCCCCTGGGGAACTGACGAAATCAGATATTGGCTCCCCACCCTCAGGGAACAAGTGTCAAAAGTGACAGAGTCCCTACAGTACGTTCAGTACTTCCGGTCCAGCTTCTTTTCCAATCTTGTGAGCATTGCTCTTTATTTTAGAATACAAAGAGCAGGAGAGAAAGAGATGTAATTAAGAAATCACAACACACTCGTGCAGAGACATGAACACCCTGACGCAAAGCCAGGTCCCCAGCAGCTAGTTCCCGATGCTTCGCTCCATGTGGACAGACCTTTGTTCTCTTTTGAAGTTCATGAATCGCATTAGAAAAACATTTCGTAATTTCATTCAGGAGTGATTTATTTTAAGAGTATTCAAATACCTAATGAAGCAATATTAAAGGGCCCTGCGCGAGCAAGCAGTGGGTCCAACGAGTGAAGGTTCCAGCACCTCCACCTGCCAAGAGAAAGGTGTTCTCCTGCCACCTGCTCAGGCCTGGGGTCCCGCCACCGAAAGCTCAGCACTCCATTCGTTGTGCAATCTTTTTCAAACTCCACCCACTCAGCTCCAGAACAAGTGAAATTCTCCCGTTCCGAAAAAGCTCTCGATTTTTCCTGTATCCAGGGAGACACTGAAAACTCCTTGACGTGAGTCAAGTAAGGCAAGGGGAACGGCGCAGCCTGTCCGCTAGATTAAGACCAAAGGCCACGGTCACGGAGGCGCTCAACTTTCCTATCACCAAATTAAAAACAAACAAACAAAAAAGAACAGAAAAAAAAAAGAAGAAGAAGAAGAAGAAGGGGAGGGTGAGGGAAACGGGAAAACAGCAAAGCTGGGAAGTCGCCTAACAGGCAAGATTGCTCCCAAGCTTGAGGGACCAAGGTCCCCCCGGTATCGCTTCTCCATCCCCGGCTGCACGTGCACCTAGGCCTGTGACGCCCAGAGCCGCCCCTGGGCCCCGGCGCCCACTGGCCCGCTAGTGCGTGCAGTGGCGGGGAGCACAGAGGGCGCGGGGAGGAGGACCAAGCGCAGCCCCGACTCCCGCGCGGTTATGTTACTGCGCAACAGACTGCACAGAGTGGCCCGGGGCCATCCCGCAACGCGCTGGCGCACCTGCCCGACGGCGGCAGGACAAGCCCGGGACCCCGCTGAGCCCCAGGCCTGCGGCGGCCCGGCGTCGGGAGCTCGGCGACGGCAGGGGCTGAGCGGACACCTGGCGCCCGCGGCCGCAAGGTGCCGGCCGCACGTGGCTGTCACACCTGGCGCGCCGCTCCGTATCCCTCGGAGGCCTGCCCTCCCCCTCCGCCTCGCTCACCCCCAACGGCCGCTCCTGCGCACCCCTCCCACCCTGGTGCCACCTCCCCCACCTGCGCCCACTGTCGTCACCCCCGGGAGGGAAAAAGGGCCGGATGTTCGTCCCGTGGCTAAAGGTAACCCGGGAGAGCAAGGAGCGGGGTCGAAAAGGGGCGTCCAGGGAAGCCCGACGGTGCCCTCGGTCCAGCAACGAAGGCATCCCTCTCACTGACCTTATGCCGCGGGCCGCGTCGCCGCCCGCCCCGACCGGCCTCAACTGCCTCCTCGGCGCCGCCGCCTCTGCCCCGCGCTGCCTCCTCTACCCGCGTCGCCATGAGGTGACGGCAGCAGCCAAACAAGCGGCCCGACCCGAGAAGCACGGAACCTCTCAGCGCCCTGCGCCCCGCCCCACGCTCCCCACGGCCAATCACCGCCTGGTAAGCTTCCCACGTGACCGGAGGAGGTAGTCCCCTGAGGGGATAGAGCGAGAATGGGGGTGGGGAGCGTTGAATTCTGGGCTGGGCTTGCGCGAGGGCCGAAGGGCAGACAGAGGCCGTGGGAGTCTGCGCGGACCAGGGAAAGGACTCAGGAACGTACTACAAATCCCAGCAGGCAGCGCAGCCGTGACTTCCAGACTCGCAGCGCAATTGGGGCGTGGTGGGGCGTCCTAAGAAGGGGCGAGTGCGCTCGAGGGCGCCTACTGTGCTGCGCCTATTGCCTACCGGTTCTTGTAGTCTCTGCAGAAGATGTCCGGTTCCGGAAAGTACCTGTAAATCTGCTTCGGGGAAACTGTTAATGCACTCCAGTGTCTGAGAAGCAGCGGACCAGAGACACCGAGTTGGTGGTGGTGGTAGTGGTGGCTGCGGTGGTGGTGGTTTTTCTTTGTTTTGTTTTGTTTCTATGGTGGTTGCCTTTGGAATTAGCCCTGACAGGGAGAGAGAACTTGGCGATTTTTCTGGCGGGAACTGTAATGGATCCCAGAATTTGAGGCTTGGGCGTGGAGCCCTCCGCCTCCAGCTGGGTGGATAGGGTTATCCATCTGGCCCTCCTGCGGAAGGGGCTGCCCCCTTCACCTTGCTGAACCGCCCAGGTTCTCGCCTCCTTCTCTGCACTTTGTTGGGCCTTAATCCACGTTGACTCTATTCTACTCGCTCTGCCAGTCATTTTGTCAGTTGGAGTTTTCATTACTCAACTTTTTTCTTGGCTATACGATGGGCAGGGAAGAATTTTCCTCAGCAGTATTCCCTATTTCCATCGGATGGAACCAGATCTTTCAAAGTCACACACTACCAGGTAAACTCAACATAGCAAGGTTGTCTTAAACGTGCGAATTCTGTGCCACTGTTTTTTCATTACACTTGAACACAAAACAGTGGGAGCAGGCACCAAACAATAAGTAACGTGAGCGCAAACGTTTAGCAGTGGGCAAATTCCATCCATGGATTTGATCTATATTTGTAAATTTGACAAAATAAGTTGCCATTGTTCGGTTTTATGAGAAGAGCTCAGATCGGCTTTGAGGTTTCAGAACTAAAAGTTGGACATGCAGAGAGCAGTTGGTCGTGAAAACCAGCGACTCTCAGGCACCTTGTCTCAACTTCTTGAAGACAGAAGCCCCAGCAAGGTGCAAAGCAAGCCTGTCAAAAATGCATTTCTCCGGGAAATAGGATGACAAAATGGACGATAGTTCAAGTAAGGTACAATGGAATACCATACAGCTACTAAAATGATAGACATTTTTTTAAGATCACCTAGAAAAAAAAGATTCCTTTTATGTAAAATTACCTGAGAGTTTCTTAGTGTATGTTTAGAAGGTTCTTCATCAAATTGTAAAAGAGGTTTTCTCTGGGTAGTAAAATGGCCAGTATTTTCGCTTCATAAGGCCATGCACCCATGGGCAGGTGCCCGTGTCTACACTCCTGTGAGAGCAGTAATCTCTTCTTTTTGCTTCTCGCACAGGACGGTTAGTGGGACTAGGAAGTAAGCTGAAAATGTTATTGTAAAGAATTAGAAAAAGACAAAAGAAGGGAGAGAGGAGAGAGAGGGGGAAGCGCGATTATCTGATCTGTTCTCTTTATAGTAGTTAAAACTTTTACCAAGATTTATTTATTTGAAAGGGAGAATTACAGGGGAAGGAGAAGCAAAGTGAGATCTTCCATGCACTGCTTCACTCCCCGTCTGGCAGCAAGAGCAGAGCTGGACTGGGCCGTGGTGAAGACACGAGGAGTAGAGACCCAAAAACTGGGGCCATCTTCCGTTGCTTTCCCAAGCACATTAGCAGGAGCTGGATGGAAAGTGGAGCAGCCGGGACATGAACCGGTGCCCATGTGGGATCTGGAGCGGGCACCTGTTGGCAGTGTCAGCATTGCAGGCAGCAGCTTCACTTGCTACCATGCCAGAATGCCATAGCAAAAACTCCAAAAAACCTATTCAATTGACGTAATATATATAGCTCCTCGCAAACTGATGTATAAACATCATGCCGTGGATGCATGTATACGTCTGAATACAAACCTGTGCACACTGCGAAATGAGAATGAAGGAATAACATATGAAAGCACATGGTATCGTGCTGAGCTGAAGTTATAACACACACATTGGGCCCGGTGTGATGGCGCACTGGTTAAGGTCCTCGCCTTGCACGCCCGGGATCCCATATGGGTGCCGGTTCTAATCCTGGCAGCCCCGCTTCCCTTCCAGCTCCCTGCCTGTGGCCCGGGAAAGCAGTCGAGGACGGCCCAAGCCTTAGGACCCTGCACTCACATGGGAGACCCGGAAGAGGCTCCTGGGTTCGTATCGGCATAGCATCGGCCGTTGCGCTCACTTAGGGAGTGAATCATCAGACGGAAGATCTTCCTCTCTGTCTCTCCTCTCTGTATATCTGCCTTTCCAATAAAAATAAAATAAATCTTTAAAAAAAATAACACACACATCTTAAGGGATTGTTAACCAGCTACAGGTGAGCCAGTGTTTTATTTTGAGTTTGACAGCTAAGAGGAAAAACACAATTTACAGACTGATTCAACACATCACAATCTAAAACACTATTTGCTCTTTCAATTTGTTTAATATAGGTTATGGTGCTTTAAAAGTCCGTCCGTAAGTTCTTGGATGCCCTTCCGTTTGAAAGATGGAGTCTGGTTCATCTGTCCTTAAATGAGCGCCTGACGTGGAGATCTGTTTTGAACAAATACTGTGCAGCAGAAGCAGAAGGAAGCGAGTAAGTCCAAAGCTCAGGGAGACGAAGGGCGGCTTGGGCCAGGCTCTCCGGGTCTAGGATCACTTCTTCCCGGGTCTGCTTGTCCTGATTTTCTGATAGTCCCATTCTTTCATGCAAGTGTTACATTACAAGCCTTTAGAAAGGCTTCTGTCAAGCCTTTGCCCGTGGTTCTGGAAAGCACTTTGCTGTCTCTGCTGGACTCCATCCCTGGGCTTCTATTTAAGGTCTGCAGCATCTATGGCTTCCTTATTCCCGAGCCTCCAAGGGGTACCACATGTTCCTTATTGATTATTCTGACCTTTGCTCCAGGAAGTATTATCTCAGTTAAAAACTGTGCCTGCCAGCAGGGTAAAGGTCACAGAAACAACAGGTCCTTGTTGAAAAGGGGGCAGTGTCTCCAGCTTCCTGAGGGCTTTGGCTATAACAGGAGTAGTCTTATCAGGCCATTTATTCTGTTGTTTATTAAAGTCTACAAGGGGCTCACATTTTGACGCAGACGGTCAAGAATAAGATTGTGATGTCTGCACCCCAGGGTGGAGTGCTTGGTTGGAGCCCTGGCAACTAGGCTTCCCATCCTGGTTCCTGCTAATGTACCTGGGGAAGCAACTTGTGATGACTCAAATTCTGAAGTCCCTGCCGCCCGTGTGGGACACTAGAGTGGAGCTCCTGGCTTCTGGCTTTGGCCTGGTCCATCCCTGGCTGTTGCAAATGTTTTGGAAGTGAACTAGCACGTGGAAGGCCTCTCATTCTCTGTGTGTGTGTGTGTGTCATTCTGCCTTTCAAGCAGATGAAAAGAAATAAACATTTTAAAAGTTTTGAATAAACAGGCACAAGACAATTTGTGTAAACAGTAAGCACAATGCTGTACCAGCTCCCGAACCGGTTAGGTGGCTCCACTGCCATTTCAGTACTTTATAAGGCACTCCGAGAAAACTCACCACTATTGCAGAAGCAAAAATGTGTTGGCCATGTAGCAATTGTCACGGAACCGGAATCCTCAGAGCCTATAGCTTGGCACAGGGCTACTTAGAAGCTACAGATTTACAACATTCTGACACTCTGGTCAGGCAAGACTAAGCAGACGTGAATATCAGTGATTTTACTATCATAAGCTCACTTGTAACATCAGTAACACTGGTAATATTAACTTTTAAAAAAAAATTTTATTTTTATTACAAAGATATACAAGAGGAAGATCTTCCTTTTGATGATTCACTCCCCAAGTGAGTGCAACGGCCAGTGCTCCTCCGATCCAAAGCCAGGAGCCAGGAACTTCCGCCAGGTCTCCCACATGGGTGCAGGGTTCCAAGGCTTTGGGCCGTCCTCGACTGCTTTCCCAGGCCACAGGCAGGGAGCTGGATGGGAAGTGGAGCTGCCGGAATGAGAACCGGCGCGCATATGGGATCCTGGCACGTTCAAGGCGAGGACTTTAGCTGCTAGGCCACTGTGCTGGACCTAATATTAACTTCAACAAGAATTTTGTTACTTAGCAGAAAAACTCTGGTGCTGACTGAACTGTGGCTAACAGAAGCCTATGCAGAGGCTCAAATGTAAAATATGGACCGTGTAAGCCATCCTAGCTGATGACCCTGGGGTCTGAAGTCCTGAGAGACAGTATTACACTGAACTGAACACAGCATCCCCTCCTGGTCCTTCTCTTTCCTGTCCTTCAGTGTTTCTGCCTCTGTCTTTGCTGGCAATAGAGTACAGACCTCATCGTGCCCTGTAACATAATCAAAGGCCTCAGCATATCTAGAGAAAAAAAAGCGCAGCCGTCAAAAGAGTGGAAGCCTAGAAACCTAAGAGAGAGACAGGAAGGTCAGGCTGCAGGATTTGGAAGACTGAGACTCTTGGTCCAAAGGAAACTTCAAGAATAAACCTCCCTGAAAATGAGGGTGGGGGCCCCAGGAATGTCAGGCTAATGCCTTTGATCAGTTCCGATGTCTCACCAGCTTTCCATTGTCATCAAGATGCCTGATTGGTTCACACCACAGAGAAAGAATGGAGAGATGTGTTTACTTCCATGCTGTGACACCCGTGCATTGTTCATTGTTAATCAGAGCACATGCTGACTTTCTACACCAGGCTTAAGAGCCGCTTACCATATATTCAGAGCAGTGCCTCCTTCTAGGAAACCGGGCTTACCCCTGGTCCGCATCTCAGGCCAGCCCCACTCTTCACCACTGTGGATTGCCTCTGCCTCAGCTACATGGTAACCAAGGCGA